AACAAGAACCTACCTGCTAGTAGCAAAGAAACAACCGATACGTATCAAATTCAGTATGCTAATGATAGTCGAGAAGATACACCTACAGAAGAAAAGTATGACTTCTAGAATCGATTTGCATACTTCAATGATTATTTCAGTAAACTAACTGATGTTCGGTGAGATATTTATTGAGATTAAGCATGTTTCAATACATAGATTGTTTTATTGTTAAGTTAATGTTAAGTTGTAATAAATATTTTCTTATGAACGGTATTTAATTTTTTCATTTGATTAATTGTATCAATTTAATCTATTCTTTCTTTTGTACGATCTACTACTCGTATAACATGATAATTTTTGATAACTCTCGATCCTATAAGATAGTATATCATATTTTTATCGCCGCTTACATTGACTTAAAATTATATTGTTGCTTATGATAAAGCCATTTGATAATATTATAATCTTCTTCTCATGGATCTGTGTGTTCAGTTGCAAGCGGTTCCAAATTTAAAGTTTTCGAAGGTATAGGAAACAAACTATACTATAGAAAGGAGAGCAGTCATAATATAACAAAGAATCTTTGAAATTACATACTACTGACTTTCCGAAGTAAAATTTATAAATCAAAAAACGTTTTGATTACAGGAAATCTCTAATCTAATCAATTGACATATCGAATAAATGATGAAAATAATTGACTAGAATTGGATAATTATATATTCTCAACGTGTAAGAAACTAATAATAGTGCTATAGTATAGGATGTATAAGGGATGGATTTACTTGAATATTATTTTAAGACTTTGCTATTTTCGTGCCCGCGTAACTGGCACCAAATTCAAATGATCGTAGTACTGTATGTTGATGTATTAAAAATATAAATTAGCCTAATGGATAATTATACTGTAGTTATCTATTGATACTATCGCTGCGTAATTTGATGGTATCAATAAATTGGGGTATAATTAATTATAGTTCTTTACGTTAGTACTATGATTACAGTATTATATCTCAAACTTTTAAATACGGTATTTAAAGAGAGTGAATATAAACCAATTTGTTTCTCTCGAATCTACAAGGAGAGATCTATAGTAACCTATTTCAGTACAGCGATTTCTACTTCAGATTTCGTTAGTTGCAATAGTCACAATGTTAATATTTTCTGACGTTAGTTTACGACAGTTTACATACTGTTTTATCGTAACCACTATATTGTACGCAATTATAGTCTACATTAAAGTATCGCTTTTCTACTAAAGCCTTTATGTATTTCTGTACATGGCAACTAATACCGCTAACGCTGACTCATCAAACTCTCTGTCACACTGCTATATCAAGGACAATAAAATAATCAAATGATTGCTTTTGATAATATGCATATATTTTTAAAACGGAGGTTATTTTAAAATAGTTATAAGCATTTTAAAATCAGTCGGATGAATGTATACAAGAATTATATAAAAGCATCGCATAAATGCTTTAGAAATAGTTTAAATGCTAAAAATAAATTCCTATTTCTACTGTACTAAATCAACATCAATATTTTTCCTGATTTATTTTAATGTAAAATGTTCACTCATATGGCGTAATTTAAAAAAAATAGCTCGAAATCAACAGTGAATTATATTTCTTTACATTAATAGAAAAACATAAAAGAAGCCTAAAAGGTTACTAAACTGTTGTTACTTTAGTGATCAACATAATTTTAGATTTAGGAGAATCTGAGATATTTCTTGTGTTACTCTTTTCTTTCAATCTGTTATCACTAAAGCAATTTCGCTTATTACTTTCTTGCGAAACTGGATAGAAATGCCAAGCTAATAAATATGCTATGAGTTTAAGAGATTTGAAAGTAGCCATAGCAGCAAATACTAATAAGCTTAAAGTATCATTATGATAGGCCCAACAAAATCCTCGCTGATTACAATTTTCATCCCACAGTGAGCAAGAGTGATCTAAAATAACTCCAAAGATTACCGGTCCAATTAAGCCACCTATTAAACGGGCAAAAGTACCCATCAATCCTACCGCAAAAGCATTTTGATTCTCTGGCACAGACCTAAAATTCGATTTTAGAGGCAACATATTACAAGTGAATAGATCGATATTCGTGAGCGTAAATAACTTGGCTATTAATATCTTGAAATACGTGCTATCCTTAAATTTTAGAAACTAATAGAGAATATTTTACGATAAGTATATATAGTATTAAATATTATGCTGCCAGATTGTGATTTCTGTTTAGAAGTCAACCCACAGAATATAGACTGTATCACAGACGCAAATATTCCACAGTACATTGACTTTACCATAAAAAATTATTCTAATTTTACTATCAAAGATGATATAATTGAAACTAATTCGACAGTAACTGAAAGAATAAGTAAAATTAAATCTAAATTACACTATAAATGTTTAGAATTGAATTAGTAGAGATGGAGTAGAAGGCTACTGTAATTGTTGATTAAAAGGATATAACATTGATACACCTTTCGATTGTGAGTTAAGATCAAATATTTTGATGACTATGGTAGTTGATATCTATTTTTATTTGAACGAATGCATTTGCTAGGTTGTATAAGCTTTAATTGAGGATCATTAATACTGATTCATTTTAATTGGTTTTACCGTAGAATAATCTGCATTCCTGGTGCTACATTGAGAAATGTTGAGATCATAATAAAGGCCAATAAGATAAAGAAAGGAATAGACAGACTACATGATCCTTGGCAATTGCCGCCATAAGCCTCGCGAACAGGGATGGATAATGTGCCTTCCTTGCTTTGAAAGTCATCGCTTGTATTTATGCATTCACAGTCATAGTATTCCTGAAACATTTAATAATTACAAATAAAGATAGATTAAGTATGTTCTTTAACAACGTCAGTGTAATGTGTAATTAGCCATCAAACTTAATTTTCATGCAATAATTTGCGCTATAGCAACGTGATTTTATCGTTACTCAATCGCTTACCATAATGTTAGTTTTTGAATTTAGTATCCTT